GTATGACTATCTGTTATTGCATGCTAGCGTATGATATTTATGTGCACATGTTTATTGGTTTGGGGAAAGGGTTGAAGCAGGTCCTGTTGTGTGTAGTAGGCCAAGTCACCATGGGCTGACCGGGTAGACTGCAGGCCCGGGCTGGGCAAATCTAGTCAGGCAGAAGGCCCAGCGAGCGGTCCGGATAGGCTGAAGGCCCCGAGGAGGGCGGTCCGGACGTGCCGAGGGCTCAGAGAGCGGTCCAGATAGACTATGGACCGGGATTCGGTCCAGTCAGACTGATGACTCATTATGCATGTTGTTTACTTATATGTTATATGATATGGTTATATCGGTATGACGTTGGTATTTTGGGGGTAACTCACTAAGCCTTCGAGCTTACATTTATCGATTATTGTTTCTGTTACTTCTGATGATCGCGGGAAGGCGAAGGCGTGATCGTGCACCTCCTTATATTTTCATGATTGATTCTAAGGATGCTATGATGTTTTAACTATTTTGAAATCAAACTATAATAACTAATGGTTTTAAATGTTTTAAAAAGTTTTAAATTGGCTTGAATTTTATGGATGTTACAATAACTACAAAGACTAGCTACCGTTGTAAGATTAATAAAAACCAATGCTCTCTCTTGCGCGCAAACGCAATGTGGGGTGCAAATGCGAGCCAATTTGGCTTTGGTTCACTAAACTTGTGTGTAAGCACGCGTCCTGCTGGTACGAATGCATCACCGGTCGACCAGAAAAGTTCAAGGACCTTTTTGAAATAATTTTCTTTTCGCTTAACACTTACAAACCCGAATTAAAGGCTATTAATAATAGATTTCGGTTTTGATCTGTCAATTAATTATGTTATTTAATTGGTTGTTACGTTTTGATGTTTGATGACATCAATGGCAATTTACAATATAAATAGAGCCTCTCATTCAATGTTTAGATTACGCAGAATGAAACGAAATCACTCTCTTCCTCTCTTACGGTTCTGCTTCTTCTTTCATCTTTTGCTGCCACCAAGGTAATTTTCGGGCCAAGTGAGGGTTCGGGTGACCTAGAAGAGTCACTTACTACTATTGTATCCTGGGAAACAAACACCCATATAGGACGAATTTATTTTAAGGAAACTGTGTCAAACACATGCCTCAGTAATAATTTCTGATTTTTGTTCTTTCGTGCATTTTGGGTTATATTTTTCCTGACAATGTGTTAGAATATATGAGGGTTCTCTTTTTAAATCATCAATAGTTAGAGATAGTTTTCGTAATTAGTCCTAAATAGCCAGTTTAATACCAATCATATTGTAATTGCTTAATATCCTTTTTTTCATCATAATGAGGTAACGACCATGTATGTTGTCTTTAGAATGCGATTTATGGTTTTAGATAAGCACCACGTGCTTAGTTTGGAAAATTCAGTACCATTATTCTTTTCGTTGGGTTTTTCTTCAAGCCTCTACAAATCATGTCTATTGACATGTACAACATCCACTGGTACATTCTCATTTTACTATATGTTGACGACATGCTTATTACAGGTAGTGACAATACAAGTATTCTGCAACTAAAACAGTTTCTCAATTCCTGTTTTGAGATTAAGGATATTCATAATTTTCATTAATTTTTAGGCTTGAGGTCTTATGTGATGCTTATGTAATATACATATTCCAATGGAACTATGTTTTTGACTTATTGTCTTGTGGATGCAAAAGTGGCATCCATACCACTTGAGCCAAATACTCACTTGGTTTCTTGAGAGTGAACCTCTTAGTAACCCCACTGCTTATAGACAACTGGTAAGTTCCATGGTTCATCTTGTGGTTATGCGTCCTAACCTTGCCTATGCAGTTTACACGATTAGTCAGTTTATGGTTTCTTACTTCTCGGATCATTATGCAGCTGTCCTTTGGATCCTTCGTTACCTCAAGAGTACAATATTTCACGGGATTCATTTTTTGTTTGGATCATCTCTTATTCTGAAAGTCTTCTCATATACAGATTGGGATGGTGACTTAACTGACCAACAATCTATTACAAGTTCCTATTTCTTTCTAAGGGACTCCCTTATATCATGGAGAAGTAAGAAACAGAACCTTACAGCCCACTCAAGTATTATAACTAAATATCGAGTTCTAACGGATACAAATCAAGAATTAGTTTGGCTATGATGGATTTTAGCTGATGTATGTACTCATCGGTCCATACCTACATCACTATGGTGCAATAACAATACTGTCATGCACATTGATCACAATGATGTTTTTCATGAACGAACAAAGCATATTGAGATTGCATATTTCTTGGAGATAATCTTCTGTCATGTTCATGAAAGGACAGCCCACTGACTCATGTTTTAGTTCCCAGACCGAATATAAAAGCGTTGTTAATGTCATAGATGAGACATGATGATCCACAAGCAGACAATGTATATATCTCGGAGATAATTTTTTTATGGTCATGAAATGACAACCAGCTGTCTCATGTTTTAGTGTTGAGGCCGAGAATATGAAACATATCCTTCAATATGATGATACACAAGTAGGTAATACATATTTCTTGGAGATAATACTTTGTCATGATCATTAAATGAGAACCTATTGTCTAATATGTTAGTGTTGAGCCCGAGTATAGAAGCTTTTCTAAATTCATAGTTGAGATATATTATCTGTCTAATAATATAGTACAATATTAGATGACAAAACGCATTAAGATAGATAAACACTTTCTCCGACACAAAGTCGATGCATACCCTTGACTCATCAGTAGGGATGAAAGTGGGTCAAACCCGACCCAGATGGACCTGGACCCGAAAATCCCGGAAACCAGTTAACGAGATTTTTTAGGAACAGAAATTAGACCAATATATAGGAACCGATTCTGATTCGGTTATGGGAAAAGTACGGGTAAAGTGACTATAGAATCAGAAAACCCGGAAATGTCAAAGTGGGTACGGTAGAACCAGGTAAAGTGGATCTACAACCGGAAAACCCGTAAACCTGATAAATTCATTCTTTAAACCTGAAACCCGTGCCAATTCTATATGTTCTGGTTCTAATGATTTCGGCTATGGTCTGGTTTTTCGATTTTGAATCTCATCCCTACTCATCAATGTAGTTTATCTCTCTAATAATATAGTTTAGTATTAGAGGATAAAACACATTGAGATAGACCGGGCCAGTCCTGAGGATTTAAATATCCTCAAATGCCTAGGACCAGCCAGAAAAAAAGAATCATTATCGTTAT